GGCTCAGAGCTCTAACAGTCTCTCACAGAGCAGGGCTGCAGTCTGAGGACTTGAATAATGACCGGAGCAGAGATCAGGCCCAGAGCTCTAACACAGTCTCTCACTGAGCAGGGCTGCAGTCTGAGGACTTGAATAATGACCGGAAGAGAGATCAGGCTTTGTGCATATTAACTGTTAGCTTATTCCGGTAATGCAATCAGTCAAGAATTACTAATATTGACAGCAATGATTAGGCTCAATAAATAATAGAAGAGGGTGAAGCTCCCGTCCCCCTGTTCCCTCTTCACCTCTCTCCAGGTGAGCCAGCTGCTGTCCCACACAGTTAAGCACCGATTGATCAGCACAGAGCCTTGCAGCTGCTTGTCAGTGTTTCACTGTCAACCCCTTCTGAACCTACTAACCAAATAAACATACCACAGCAGCTGAAGTGCTCCTGCAATCCTGTAGAAGACAGCACCGAGTTCACCTTGCCTTCACTCCATGCACATATAATAGCTTAGATTTGTCTATCTATACATTAATTAAGAATCCTACATAATACACATCAAGCATGACAGGTTGAGGACATCTCTCTGTAGCTAAAGGCCTGAGGAGAGAAATGGTACATTAACACATAGGCAAGCAATATCCCTTTTTCCCTTCTCTCCCTCGCTGTGTTCAGTAATACGACTTAACACAACACCTCCAAGTCCCACAATCAAAACTTTCCAGGTCTGCACAGATTACATGAGAAGAAAATTATGTCACATGATTAGAGAGGCATAGCCAATAGGAACCAGCCCTTCTCTGTCTCCTTGCCGACAGCGTATCCACTCTTCATCCACCCCTCCAATCAGAAGAAGCTCCTCCCCTTTCTTGAAGCTGAGCTCCGCCCCAGTGCCCTGGTGGTCACACAGTGTCCTCACTGACCTGCAGACAGACAGGCAGGGAGGTGGTGTGTTCTTCAGGAGGATGGAAACTCACTATGGACATTTCATCAGCACTAACTGGCCCCAGCACAAAGTCTCTTCCTGCAGACAGATCTCTAATCAAGTACAAAATCCTCAACCACTGTAGCAATGCAACAGCATCCTCACTGGTCTGAATTAATGGGTCAGAGTTAAGTAATGTTTCATAAACCTAATTCATTAATTACCTGGCTCAGTCACTTGTCAGTCCTTAATCCAATGTGAAAATTAATTGGGTTTTCTGAGTTATTCCCTGCAGCCTTTATCTCCCTGTCCTCAGAACTGCTGTCTCCAGCAGGGCTGTGTACCTGGGTGTCCTGGGTCTCGGCCTGTCTTGCTCTCCCTCTGGTGGGGCACTCTGCGCTGGACTCGCCATCCGGGTCAGAACTGACACCCCAGGGACCAGCCAGCTGGATGGACGCCTGCAACAGAGTCGCAGAGATGAGCAGGTACAGACAGGAGGGAGAGATGGACAGAATCGCAGAGGGAGAGACGACAAGCAGACAGAGACAGAGACAGGCAGACAGCCCAACATGCAGACAGACAGAGAGAGACAGACAGTAAGACTAGCAGATAGACAGAGACAAAGGCTTGCAGACAGAATAAGACAGACAGTCAGACATGCAGACAGAAAGAGAGAGAGGTACAGTCAGACATGCAGACAGCGAGAGAGAGGTACAGTCAGACATGCAGACAGAGAAAGAGGCAGTCAGACATGCAGACAGAGAGAGAGAGAGGTACAGTCAGACATGCAGACAGAGAGAGAGAGAGAGAGAGAGAGGTACAGTCAGACATGCAGACAGAGAGAGGTACAGTCAGACATGCAGACAGAGAGAGAGGTACAGTCAGACATGCAGACAGAGAGAGAGAGAGGTACAGTCAGACATGCAGACAGAGAGAGAGA